ATAATTAGTTCTGAAAGGTCCCATTTGGCATACTATTTAAGATGAGCAAGTTTGATAGTTTTTTCATCCTTCCTCGTCTTCACTGCGGCTCAGTGAGTCAGCCCTACTAGCACCAAAGGCCTCTCCAAGTGCATGTGTGATGGCCTACAGCCATGCTAACCTAGATAAGATCCAATCTCCCTGGTGGTGAGAGGTGCAGGCTATTTACTAAAAGACATGTCTATTCTTCCCTGAGCACTATTGTGGAGCTTCTGCTGCAATCACACCCTGAAATTTGTCCTAAGGTTATGGTCTTGATGGGCTGCTTCAAGTACTGCTGGCATTTGGTACAGGGATACCTCTAGACTGGCTACTATCAAGTGGCACTGGCCATGTTGTTTGACTGTGGGTTATGTATGTTTACACATGTCCTGCACATGAGAATTGTTGAGTTCTCACAAGGGTATATGTGGGATAAGTGATATGTTTATTATGTGGTTGAGGGTATGCAAACAGTCATTTGGGAACTCATGTGAAATGTAGGATGACATGAGAAGTTCTCTTTGGTACTCATGTCTTGGCGTAGTGGTGAGTGTGTTCTCTGGTCCTGCTTATCTGGGTTGATTCTCTATGATTGTACAGTGTGTGAAGCCTACAACTGGTGGCCCCACCACATTCCTATTGTTGCTGCGTATACTCACTTTGTGTTAAAATGAAACTAACAAACACCGCTGTAATGAGTCCATTGTACCAGTCTGTCCTAAGCCCGAGTTTAATAGAATTCTGTTTGGTCTAGTTACATCATCTAATACAATATGATAACACTAAAATGTACTAAAAAAATGATGTTAAGGGCCAAGTTCAGGACACTATATCAGAAGCATTGTGTTTATGAATCACTTTCAAATGCTGATCACAAACACATGCAAAGCAAGTCAGATTCGATGAACTCAGTCACAGGTGAAAGATATTAATATGAATCAGAATTTGTGATCCTTCTTTTGTCAGTACCTAGGTAGCCATTTTGAACAGTGCATTCCTGTGTGAAAATTTAAAAGATAAAACTCTGACTACAAACGTGTTTTGATAGGAAAACCTAGATATCAGAATTGTTCGAATTTCAACACACACACATGATATACCAACACTGAGAAGGTCTTATCGCCATCATCAACCTTGATGACAAAATTTGTGGATGTCTGAAAATGTTATCATGGAAGCAATGATAAGCATGATTGCAGACAGATACCAACAGTAGAAGGAAGATAGCAATTGGGAAATAATTAGGTCACACCGATTTGTTAACCATGTTCAGAATGTCTAACCAAGGCCAGTGTGTGGTGTGGGAGATAATGTTTACGTTCTTACCTCCGCTGACAGTTTTATGATGAGGAAATGATAATTTAGTCTTCCTCTTTAATCTTGTAGAGAGCTTTCTCCTCTGAAGTCTACTTGAGTCTTCTTAGTATTGATACCAAACATATATACTGAAAAAAAAAGAGAGTTCAGGGGTCAAGATTATTTTTCGAGATTTTAATATGAAATTATGTGCTCAGTCTTCACTCCCAAAATATCCCCACAAATATTCAACTTATTTCTTCAGTATAGTTTGTTTATAGTTTTATGCTTTTCGTATGATCAGTTGAATAAAATAATATGCATATCATAATCATGTTCTGCAATAAATCATGTGTTTCTTATGATAATCGTGTAGGGATGTCAAGGTGTGAAGTGTAAGAGAAATGGTATTGAATTATATATATTTCAGAAACTGAGGAAAATCTAGACTTGTTTAAATTTAGAGATTTTGCATTTCAGGAAGGGCCGCGTTGAAGGGAAAATGAAATGGTTCAGGGTCTGTGAGACACCCTAGATTGTAATAGGTTGGGGAAGATGGATGTGTTAGGAGGGAAGGCATGGCAGGGTGTATAGATGAGTGAGAGTAAGGGGTGAGCAGGGTGTCTAGGTGAGTGAAAGTAAGGGGTGGCAGGGTGTCTAGATGAGTGAGAGTAAGGGGTGGCAGGGTGTCTAGGTGAGTGAGAGTAAGGGGTGGCAGGGTGTCTAGATGAGTGAAAGTGTAAGGGGTGGCAGGGTGTCTAGATGAGTGAAAGTGTAAGGGGTGGCAGGGTGTCTAGATGAGTGAGAGTGTATTAGGTGAGCAGGGTGTCTAGATGAGTGAGAGTAAAGGGTGGCAGGGTGTCTAGATGAGTGAGAGTAAGGGGTGGCAGGGCGTCTAGGTGAGTAAGAGTAAAGGGTGGCAGGGTGTCTAGATGAGTGAGAGTAAGGGGTGGCAGGGCCTCTAGATGAGTGAAAGTGTAAAGGGTGACAGGGTGTCTAGATGAGTGAGAGTAAGGGGTGGTAGGGTGTCTAGATGAGTGAGAGTGTATTAGGTGAGCAGGGTGTCTAGATGAGTGAGAGTGTATTAGGTGAGCAGGGTGTCTAGATTAGTGAGAGTGTATAAGGTGAGCAGTGTGTCTAGATGAGTGGGGTAGGTGAGCAGGGTGTCTAGATGAGTGAGCAGGGTGTCTAGATGAGTGAGAGTGTATTAGGTGAGCAGGGTGTCTAGTTGAGTGAGAATGTATAAGGTGAGCAGTGTGTCTAGATGAGTGAGAGTGTAATGGGTGGCAGGGTGTCTAGATGAGTGAGAGTGTATTAGGTGAGCAGGGTGTCCAGATGACTGAGAGTGTATTAGGTGAGCAGGGTGTCTAGTTGAATGAGAGTGTATAAGGTGAGCAGGGTGTCTAGTTGAGTGAGAGTGTATTAGGTGAGCAGTGTGTCTAGATGAGTGAGAGTGTAAGGGGTGGCAGGGTGTCTAGATGAGTGAGAGTGTAAGGGGCGGCAGTGTGTCTAGATGAGTGAGAGTGTATTAGGTGAGCCGGGTGTCTAGATGAGTAAGAGTGTATTAGGTGAGCAGGGTGTCTAGATGAGTGAGATTGTATAAGGTGAGCAGGGTGTCTAGATGAGTGAGAGTATAAGTTGAGCAGGGTGTCTAGATGAGTGAGAGTGTATTAGGTGAGCAGGGTGTCTAGATGAGTGAGAGTGTATAAGGTGAGCAGGGTGTCTAGATGAGTGAGAGTGTATAAGGTGAGCAGTGTGTCTAGATGAGTGAGAGTGTATAAGGTGAGCAGTGTGTCTAGATGAGTGGGGTAGGTGAGCAGGGTGTCTAGATGAGTGAGCAGGGTGTCTAGATGAGTGAGAGTAAAAGGGGTGGCAGGGTGTCTAGATGAGTGAGAGTGTATTAGGTGAGCAGGGTGTCTAGATGAGTGAGAGTGTATTAGGTGAGCAGGGTGTCTAGATGAGTGAGAGTAAAAGGGGTGGCAGGGTGTCTAGATGAGTGAGAGTGTATTAGGTGAGCAGGGTGTCTAGATGAGTGAGAGTGTATTAGGTGAGCAGGGTGTCTAGATGAGTGAGAGTGTATTAGGTGAGCAGGGTGTCTAGATGAGTGAGAGTGTATTAGGTGAGCAGGGTGTCTAGATGAGTGAGAGTGTAAAGGGTGACAGGGTGTCTAGTTGAGTGAGAGTGTATTAGGTGAGCAGGGTGTCTAGATGAGTGAGAGTGTATTAGGTGAGCAGGGTGTCTAGATTAGTGAGAGTGTAAAGGGTGACAGGGTGTCTAGTTGAGTGAGAGTGTATTAGGTGAGCAGGGTGTCTAGATGAGTGAGAGTGTAGAAGCTTCCTACCTGGATGATATGTTGATGAGGTTGAGAAGGGGAGTATGGAATGAATTAATTAGGTGTGTTATATTGTAACAGTGTTTTGATGAGTAAGAATAGGTATGGGGAGGGAGCCTGGGATGGTGTTCAGACAAGTGTAAAATTTAGAAAATACTCGTCTCAACTGTATTGATGTTTGCAACACCATCTACAATCTGTGCAGTAGACCCACATTACTTGGCAGCTTGCACAACAGCTGGCATGTTGACATCAGTTGGAATACACAGTTATGACTCAAGCATGCAATATACAATATATGCATTATGCTCAACAAGTTTTATTACTCAGACTTCGATCCCAGTCTACCTGCTTTGATGTAATTATGCTGGGCACAGTAGCCTAGTCTCATTGATTGGATGGGACTATTTGTGGGGCATTTCAATGTCTTATACTTTCATTACAGATATATATGCACTGACAATTATCAAAATGACAGTCCTGCTATATATCATTAGGTGGCAAAAGGACCCATCTTGTATCTTTTCACCTGATAATTGGTAAGCTGAGAATATGTTATCAGCGTTAGAAATTGGCACTAGTCCTGTAGTCCTTACCAAACTACCCAATAGTAAAAGTATCCTAAGGCCTAGTAGAAATTGGCCCATTTCAAGGGTTTTGCTTTATGTTATCATTATAAGGACTAGTTGACAAAAACTGTTAGTTTCTAACCCTGGGTTATAGATAAATTGGTGTTGAACATCATCATTTTGCAACACAGGCCTGTTTATTTGGAATGTCCAACTGAAAAAAATTGAAAGATATCCATCTGATGTTGAATATTTCTGGTGAAGGATACACCTATGGGTGAACTGTTATTACCCATGTGTCTAATGTCAAACTTTTTTGTCATTTGTGATATCAACAATTAACTAAAATCTAAGGGGTACAGAAACTAAAGGATGAAAGAATAGTAAAACTATACATTATGATATGACCTTCACATTCTCTTTGACATTTAAGCTCTTTAGGGGTTTTCACACTACATCATGAAACTTGTAGACAAAGCCATTTCCAGGTCACAGAAACCCGGGGTTAATCCATCACACTGACAGATAATGTTTATAGTTGTACATTATGACATGCGATTTTTGTCTATTTCTGGACAAATTACATGGTAGATGGATGGTATTCTGTCCTATTACACAAATACACTTGCTCACCACCTGTTTGTTTTGTTTGAGCCAATGTGGAGACAGGTATGTATTTGGATGTCCACACACACAGTGATGTACAAAGCTGGGAGTGAGCCAGGCCTCAGGACACATGTTGTATGTTTAGACAGTTATTGGGACAGAGATGAGCGAGTCAATCGGACTGGAGCCAGGTTAGCTCACTGGTTGTGATCTGAAATAACTTATTTCCACCTCACTGGACAGTATTTTGTTGGTGATTTCATGCAGGTGTGAGTGTGAAAAGACAGCTTTGAAAGCACTTTTCACTTCACCGTATCATACGTCACAGTGCTGACCTGGCCAGTGAATAGGATCGGGAAAGCAGTCTGAATATGAATCCATATTATTGTGCCTGGTGGGATTGTGCTTGAACTTTATTTTTTGAAAATGTGTTTGGATTTTTATACGATGGATACATGATGCAGGTGGTTTGTTTTGAAAAATTTGTTGCTGTGGATTATTTTAGAAATTTGAAACAACTGAGTGGCTGGAACAGCTCTGCGGATGCACTAATGTGGGTGTTGGGACAGTGGAAGGATGCTCCCCAATAATTGGTTTAGGAAACAGACTATAGTTCTTCTGGCGGGGCTTACACTGTGCTGTGAATTATTCCTGAGGTATGCACTGCCTTGAGTGACACAGAGAAACAGAATCTGCCGACTACCAGAGGAGTGAAGCGGCACATCCAGGCAGGAAGCTTCTGTCAGAATGCCCCCTCCCCGAGTGTTTGGTTGGGTAGTAGCTTCTTCCAATCCTCCACACAACTGTGGCTGCAATTGAGTACTACTACGCTGCCACCATTCATGAGGCGATGTGCATCCCACTTCTGACAACAGTTGGGGAACTGTCCTATATCCTTCAATTACACAGAACAGGCAGGGACTAATAGAGGAACTAAAGGCGTTTATCTTAGTGAGACTTTTTTTACTGCACTATGGGCTGTTATCACAGGCAGTGAAGGATTACTGGTCAGTCTCAGCTAGGATTTCCATGTCATGTGAGTATGGTGTAATATTCTTGCTGTGGACCTTTATGTTGTCTCAGGCTATGAATGACTTGGTAATTGCAAGTCAACAATTTAGGGTGTGGGGATTGTGATTAGCCTGTGTTAGTATATTTGCATTGATCTGCTTCTCTGTTTATGGTTTGAAATTCTCTTTCTTCCCGCTAAGTGTACTGGTTTCTGACTTGAATCTTTTAGCGGGAGAGACGAGGGAGAGAGATAAGCAGAGATATTTCACCTTTGACCTTTCAAACTGCTTTAATGACTACACCAGATCAGTTGTGGCATCTGCTTATGAAATTAAATCTAATTTATTTTGAATTAAAAATCCATGTGCTGATTTTATGTAGTAATATTAGATATGAAGAAATGAGTATTATCGTTTTGAACACTGTCAATAAAATCAAATGTGATACAAAATCCCACTTGAGAGTACAGAACCATCCTTGAAATTGTGTGAAAAACTGTTACATTTACTTTCCTACCGCAGGGCATCCGTTTGTTTGGCCAGAGGTTCTTCTGTTACCTTATAGGTATCAACTATTCATGCTTTGACATTTCACACTCAACATCTGATCCCCACATTTAAAAGGAAGGTATATATAGTTGCATTGGCGGTGTAATTTGGAAATACATAATGTACTCAGTGTAATATAACGAGTGTGTAATGTAGCACATGTGTGGCCTGACTTCTACCGAAGGCATTTAGCTGTCTGCATTATATCAAGGTTCATCACCCTCCCCCTGCTTCGGATATTTACAGCTGAAGCATTTTGTCAAATATATGACAGAACAAAACTGTCCAGTCATTTTTGGAGATTTGGTCAAATGTAATCGAATATGTATGATACCTATGTCTGAAACTTATTAGAGATCACATTATGGCAATTTGACTTTTGTTTTGCTCGTTATATTTCATGCAATTGAATATATTAAAAATAATAATAAAGTTTTGAAATGGTATTAACATATTTATAAAGTATCAGAATAGTGTGAATTGAAAAATTCAATGTGATGGATATGGTTACATCGCTGTTCAGATAACATATCAAGGCTTATATCAATAGTTTTTCCAGGTGTAAAACGTGTGAAAATATGCTCTATATATACAGATCTGTGGCAGGATAGAGAGATGCTCTATCTGTTGTTGTCTGTTGTAGCCGACACAAGGAAGCGCTATCACAGAATTGTGGCTTGACAGATACTCCTCTCTTGGCAAAAATGACTGCTTGTTTTTGTTTTTATATTTTTTAAATGAAACTCCACACAGGATGTTGGTTCCCCTTATTGGGTTGCCTTCAACAAATATTTCAGAAATTTTATGGAATTTGCATGAGGCACCATCGGAAGACAATTAGACAGGTGCTTCGATCTAGTGCATTAAACACACTGCAGGAAATGTGAACATGTTTTTGGCATTGGTTAGTAAACTTGTCTCTTTAAAGGATGAAATATATTTATGTCAGCCTTTTTCAGGATATAAAGGATGTGTTCTAAATATGAAAGACAAATTAATGTATTTCTTAGCTGAGATTGTTTTTGAATTGACTTACCGGTGTAGTTGCACTATGCTTTTTCTTCTCACTGATTTATTGCCCAGGAACAGTAACAGAGGTTGAGGCTTGGAAACAATTACAGAAATTCCAACAATGTTGAAACGGTTAACCCCTTTTAAAACTGATCTTAAGACCTATAAAAACAAATGCAGGAATTGGAATGTATGACTTATTAAACTAACTCCACCCATTAGAAGGTGGTGGGTGTTTGGTAATGAGACATCAGGAAGGGTTGAGCTGGGGAAAAGGTTATTAGCATGTCGGAGCCAAAAGGGCGAGACAGATTCCTGCAGTTCCGTCTTGTAGCCTTGCTCTATGATGCCCAGGGAGGAAACATAAGCAATCATGTTTAGAGTACCAATGATATCCCGAGTGCAGGGGATCTATCAGTCATGATGGTTGGTATGGATGTCGTTGTGTGCACCTCTCCCTGCTTCCTAGGTGTTATCAATGGTTACAGGAAGTGGTGAGAGTGTGAATGAACACTGGAAAGATAATCAGGGATGTTTCTGTTTTCACACCACTGAGTATGTTTTGATAATCTTGTGCAAAGCCTGTAGTTATGTATTAAGGTAGGTTTTGCTGTTGAAGGAAAACATTGTCCTGCTGTGTCCACTGTTTAATTGTGGCTCTATTTTGATTTAGAAGAGCTTTTGAAAAAACAGTTGAACTTTAAACAGGGGTTATAAGTGGAATTTGTCACATTCCTGAAAAGAAATTGTCTGGCATTTTGAATTGAAATCTTATCATTTATGGAGACTTGTGTTTTGTGTATGTTTTCGTGTATAGAATCTCAAACATCCATGATGTTTTGATGTTTAACCACCATTACAACACATTGCAGCACATTTCCAGGTTACAAACAATAATGCATGCTATGCTATGCTGCATGGCTGAGGATGACATTTTATGTTGACAAATGAGTCAGTGATCACAATCAACTGTTTGTTGCTCACATCAACAACAGTGCCAATTACAACTGATGTGGAATTAAGTTTGTATTTATTTATTTATTCTATTTTTATTGTTTATTGCCAACTTTGGTATTTATGACAGATTCATGAGCAAATTACAGTGTTTAAAACTAGCAGTAGTCTTATAGCCCAAATCAACATGCTTATTAAGAAAACATACAACTTTATGGATAACAACTTCTGGTTTATTGCATATAGAGACATTTTGATGTAGATTCTTACACTGTTATCAAGCTGGAGTGGAAGGATCTACATCGAAATGTCTCTGTATGTAATAAATCAGATGTTGTTAACCATAAAGTTGTACGTTTTCATACTTACTCACCAACTTCTTCAATGCCAATCAGATTGTTAACATGCTTAATAGTTAAGGTATAAGTGAAGATTTCAAATGGGTGGATTTCCTATACATCATAATAAGGACTAGTGCCGTATGTCATAAATAAGGAGGAGTGCAGTACATAGTTAATATAATGTAACATTTTGACAGAACCAACTTTGATATATAAGATTGTGTCTACAATATCTCTCAGAGCAACAAACAGAGTTGTCTCCTCCAGTCTGGCCAGGAACTGCTGATTGTGGGCTCCGAGTCTCAGACTTGGACAGGATTATGAACCTTTGTTTGTCAGTATGTGCTTTCACCAGAGTGGTTACATCTCAGACTTGCGCCATTTTTAGGTTTCCTCCCACATTAAGGTGACGCTGTGATAACTGAAATATTGTTCAATGCAGCATAAGACCCAACTACCTCACTCAGATCACGAAAAGATATTTCCAGTTAGCTTACATGTTCATGATTGCTGTCATTGTTGTAGTAGAAATGATCAGTAATATGTCAACAAGGGCATGTATTCAAGACAGTTCAGTTCACAGTGGAGAGTTTGCATTGTACATTGTCTCTAGTGTTGTGACTGATGAATATTGAATGGCAGTAGTGTTTGATGGGGATATATACTCAGACAACTACACCCATACATTGGTATTGATTTCCAGCCTCTGTATCAATAAAGAACCTTTAACTACAGCACAGCACATCTAAATCACTGCCAGCTAAATATTGAATTTTGCAGTGTAAATCTGTAGATTTGGGAAATGTATTTTCCTGATAAATTGTAGCTTTTGGAAATAACTCATATTGATTCTGATAGTTCAATGTGAGTTGAGAGAAGTTTCTTGTTGTTTTTAACCCTGCCTTATCACTACACTTCTATACTGTAATGGTGAAATATTACTGGGTTATTTTTGCCTTGGTACGCCAGTAATCAGTAATATTGCTGAGTGGTGGTTTAAGAAATAGGTCACTTCTTGAGTTTGGTTAAGTGTGAAATTTATGTTTGGAGTACAACTTTTGATTATAGCAATTTCAATGGTATGCCAAATGGGAAATTACTGTATACATTTAGGACTTCAAGGGTGAATAATCACAAAGTTCAAAGGGTACAATTTCAGATGTCTGAAGCTTGACTCATGTGAACTGTTGAATGGTTGTGTGGAAACATCTGTATTGACCTAAACAATGGCAGAACAATAATAAAGCATGACAATATATTTTATTAAATTAATTTGAAACAGCAACCTTCATTGCACAACATGCTCAGTAGGTTGACAAAAATTGCTCTATCATATATCCCATGCCAATACGTTGTATATCAGCAGTTGGGGTGGTTGCCTACTGCTCATCAAGCCAAGGGTCTGGGTTGGATGTCGCTACAATTGGCACCGTGTGTGGGTACCATTTGTGGTGTCCCCTGCTGTGATATGGTGGGACTATTGCTGAAAGTGGAGTAAAACCATACTCTCACTCACACATGCCTTAGGAAGGTAGAAGTGCTGAAAGAGGAGTCTGTCCGCTTACTACTGATCAAGTGCTCAGTTGCCTGGTAAGGTCAGTTTTTCATTTACAGATTTCAGATATTAAGAAAGGTGCCAAATGTCAGGAAAACCCTAAGCATTGGATAATGTTTTGGGAATATTTTTAGCAATGATCAATGTATTCAGGAGTTTGATATGGTCTGATAGTCCATGACTTGCAAAATGTTGAAAGGGTGAAAAATTAATTTTTATTTTCACTAGTCTGCAAAAACAATCTACAGAGTTGCCATCTACCTTAGGTGAAATTCCACAAGGAAATTACACTAGTCCTTCCTGAATACCTTTTAGTCTCAGTACTTGTGATCAAAGTACTAGCTATGGTGGCCATCCGGTAAGTTGTTTAACAACAAGCACAGCATCCTGTGTACATTATCTTCCCTGGAATCCCAGGAGAATTGAAGAGAGTAACACAGAAAATGTTTATCAAAAGCATCCGATGTTTACCTTTTTCTCAAAACACAGTAGTACCATGCAAATATTTGACCTTGATTTTACACTTTTGAAGACAATTACTATATTATTTTGTCAAAGAAATCAAGAAATATTGAAGTCAACACTTCCATAAACTGCACCAGTGTTGGGTTGTATG